CAAGGCAGCAATTCCACAACACAACATATTATGCTCTGGTTTGTAGTTGTGGCTGTGGGGTTTTGTTTTGTTGTTCTTGGTTTTTGTTTTTAATTATTTGAGAGAAAGAGGGAGAGAGCGTGCGTGAGTGGGAGAGAGAGGCGGGGGGTGGAGGGAGAGAGAGAATCTTAAGCAGGCTACATGCTCAGCACAGAGCCCAACAGAGGATTCAATCCCACAACTCAGATGCTCAACCAGCTGAGCCACACAGCCCCTGTTGTTGCTGTTTTTAACTGAAGTATAGTTGATACACAGCGTTGTATTACTTCTGCCTCACTCATAAGGACATTTGGCACTGGATTTAAGAACTACTGGGATAATCCAGAATGATCTCTTCATCTTAGGACACTTAAATACATCTACAAGATCCTTTCTCTAGATGACATTTCTCAGGGTCTGGGAATTAGGTTGTGGATTTCTCTTTTCAGGGACCACTCCTCAACCCGCCACGCCAGGCCACAGGAGGCCATAGCTGTTAGCCTTGGAAATCTGTAAAATACGACATAGACTTGAAAAGCAGGCTGCCTTTCAGAATAGTTCATCCAGTTTCGCTAATGTGCCTCTTTGCAGACTAGAGCAGCAGCCTCAATGCTGCCAACACACATGTGGCTTGGACTTGTAGGCAGCCTATAATTACAAACCTTTCAGACTCCAGGGTCTTATGACACAGGGAGAATCAAGCACAAAGGACAGTAAACGCGTCTGCCTACGAGGATGCCCACTGACAGTCTCAAGTGTTGGGGAGGTTGTGAGTAGATCTATACCAAGATACAGATACCAAGATACCCCTCCAGGCTATTGGCTTCACCAATAAGAACCACAGCTACCCACACTGCCCACTGCCTTCTCTGACAGAAACTTAGCTGTGGTTCCTTGGGCCAGTTTTTTGTCACATGTTCCCGGAGTTACAATGTCATAGTAGGGACAAAAGCCAAAGCAGAGCCGTGGAGGTTGGAGTGGGAAGATGGGAATGTAAGGGGATGTGAATGTAGCTCTCCCGGACCCACCAGCACGTGACTCATCCACCCATAGGCAACTGGCTTGGCTGTAACACAGGGAGAATCATTTTTCTTTCTGCCACTTGGGATTTTTGCAGTCCTTGGAAGAGACTGAGTAGAGGGCACTGCCAGAATTCAAACCCCTGGTTTCTGATTCTCTGCTTCCCCCTCTTTCCACCACCAGTGGTTACCTGACTGGTGAGAACTCTTGAGAATGGCAAAGAGCTTCCTCACCACCTTTATCAGATCTTATCAGTAAATAACATATTGCCAGGAGATTATATAACAACTTCTATTTGTAGAACACTTTACAGTTTGCAAAGCACTTTCCCATATACTATTTCAGTACTCTGGCAGTTGCCCTGCAAATCTGGCTGCCTAGAGAAGTTTCCTGGCATCCCGTATCTATGGTATTTCATGACAGGATATTGATTTAGAGTTGATGGTGCCTCATGCCTCTCAGCCAAGACAGAATGTGGGCTTTTTTGGCATTTACACAGCTGTCTGACACTTCCAAAGCTACCCCAGATTGTATTTTTTTAAGTTTATTTATTTATTTATTTTGAGAGAGAGAGAGAGAGAAGGGGGAGGGGCAGAGAGAGAGAGGGAGAGAGAGAGAATCCCAAGTAGGCTCCACACTGTCAGTGCAAAGCCCAATGTGGGGCTCAAACTCACAAACCATGAGGTCATGACCTGAGCCAAAATCAACAGTCAGATGCTTAACCGACAGCCATCCAGGTGCCCCTGTATTTTTGAAAATGGATGCTATTCCCAGAGGGTAGGAGTCGTGCTCTCATTTAGCACTATTACAGAATTTATTCATATTTGGGCATTTAAATACCTTTTGGAGATGTCAAACAAAAGGGACCCTGGATGCTGTATTCGGTGTGCCTCTAATCCTTTCGGAGGAATTTAAACCTTGGTCCCCTGCAAGCCCTGCAGAATCCTTGAGGGTGTCATTTGCAAACCACTGGATGCGGTAACTGTGTGTGGGAAGCCAGCACATACCATCCCCGTGGGTTACGGATAGTTTTGCAGACTCAGCAGACTTTTTGGATCCATAGACAGCTTGATCAGAATCAGAGTCATGTACCAGCCTGCACCAGAGAAACGATTCCTACTTGATGGAATTTTTCCACAGGGAGGCCAGAGTTGAGAGCAGTCACTGGTTTCTGCTGCTGTAATAGCAAGTCACAAGATCCCAGCTTTGAACCCTGGAAGGGATCTGAAAGACCACCTAGGACCTTGTCCTGATTTCATGATGATGAAACTTAGGCACAGAGAAATGAAATGAGGAACCCAAGATACTCGATCTAAGAACAGTGCTCTTCCCACTGTGCTATAGTATCTGTTTCAGAAAACACATAAGCCACATATTGTTTTGCAGATCAAAGAAACTGCCGTTATTTAGGGTCATGCTCGTGGTCTGCCCAGTGTCCAGTGTGAACACGAGACCTTAATTTGCTATAACCAGCAGCTTTTGAATGAATTGCCTTGTGATGCCTTATGTCAAAGGTAGTGTCATAGATCAGACCAAAACATCCATAAACAGTGTTTTATAGCACAGCCTCTCTGTGGCATGAAACCAGAGCTATGCTGTACCGTCTACCTCATTATCAGGTTAGCGGCATCAAAAACTACATATGAAATACTTTCGTCCACTCTGCACCTAATGGTTCATCAGATGGGAATGGATGACATTAAGTCCCCAGGCAGTTGTTTCGTGGTGAAACACAGCAAAACCTAGGGTAAAAATACCCCAAAGCACAACCTGAAACAAACTACTTTACTGGCATATTCAAGGCAGGTTTCCACTACTCACACATGGGTTTTTTTTTTGTTTTGTTTTGTTTTGTTTAATTCACCATGGAAAAGCTCCCCAATCCTAAAAACAGATTCTGGGAAAACCTGGCATTAAGCAGGACATTTCTTCTGCTCATGAACCTATCACAGCTAATTATTATCTCCACGTCTTCCTATTTCCTACTCTCTCTGCCTGGAATGTTCCTTCCCCACCCCTCCCATCTCTCAAGATTCAGCTTAAGTGGCCCCTTCTCCGTCTCTGGGAAGACTTCTTTGACACTGTTCTTTTTAACTTTACTCCAAGCTGAGTTAGTGTCTTTTTTCTGTGCCCATCCCCAGTCTCACCAGAACCCAATCTTCCTCTGTCACTATACTTATCACACCCTATTGTACCTGTAGAATTACCTGTGTCTCCCATGATTTAAAAAAGCACATGCCAAGGCACCTGGGTGGCTCAGACAGTTAAGTGTCTGACTTCAGCTCAGGTCATGATCTCACGGTTTGTGGGTTCGAGCCCTGCGTCAGGATCTGTGCTGACAGCTCAGAGCCTGGGGCCTGCTTGGGATTCTGTGTCTCCCTTTCTCTTTCTGCCCCTCCCCTACTCTCACTCTTTCTCTCTCAAAAATAAAGATAAAAAAATAACAAAAAAACAAAAAACACACTCCTTGGGGGCAAAGAGCACTTTTCATTTCAGCATTCTCTTTCACTGAAATAGTTCCAGGAATAGAGGTTTTGATAAATGTCAGTAGAATTAATGAAATTTGAATTCTGCCTGCCATTCAATTTACCCCTCTGGCCTCTTTTTGAACAGATCCTCAATATGACCAACTTTCTCCTCTTCAAGCTGTATCCCACCCTGCTCATAAATGTCAATGCCTCCAATCCAAACACCATCAAGCACAATCGTGTTGGGGCACCTAGGTGACTCATTTGGTTAAGCATCTGACTCTTGTCAGTTCAAGCCCACATTGGGCCCTGTACTGGGCGTGAAGTTTAATTAAAAATACTTAAAAAAAAGAACACCCCTATAGTTGAACTTGCAGTTTATTGCTCATTATAGCAGAGAATGCATATGGTGGAACATTGCTGTAAGGTACTAGGAAGGACTTATAGATCTGGTTTGTGTTGGATAACTTGGATAAGGTTCAGGGAAGCGGGGCTTTGCTCTGGATTAGAGGAGATGGGGGTAATTCTATGACTGGGTGTCAATAAATCTTATCTACAAGGTGGAAGGAATGAAGCAAAGCTAAAGCTGTGATTCGCCAAGAAAGTGCTTTCATGTTAGCTGAACTAATAGGGAGATATTTGATTATTTTTGTGGTTTGGACAATGTTCTTACTTCTTCCTGTGTTCAGACATGAGTGGTCATATTTTAGCCTTGATCTATCATGGTCACAGAGTGGACTTATCTGGTGTTTTGTGCAATTGTTTATTTCGACAGAACACCAAGGTCTAACTGATATACCAGGCCAGCTCCCAGATACCAGGGGATGTTTCTCTCTTTTTTATAACTCGTGCCCACTCCTACCAAGCTGTTCTGTGCCCTAGGATGCTCTTCTCTCTCCTCCAGCCAAACCCTATTTAAATTCAAATAGAACTCCACACAATTCCACCTTCCCCTGTGAAGCTTTCCTAAATACTTTCTCCATTGGATTATCTTTTCTGAATGCATCTAAAAGTCTGGGTTGGCATGCCACAATTTAGTATTCAACTGCCTTCTCTCTGGAACGGTTTGACTAGTCACATGTATTTTTCTTCTCTGCTCAGTAGGTTGTAAACCTTTTTAGGGGAAGGGTCATTTCTTACATTTCATTATCCCCCTAGAACTGAGCACCCTGCTGGTGTGAGTAAAGGGGGCGACTCTGCTTCTGTGACACAGCTCTGAAAACACAGCCACAAGCCAGCAATGGAAAAGCCACCCGCTTGCCTTTCCCCCTTCTAACACTCTGACCTTATCTTCCCATCAAGAAACCGTGTTTGAGTTTTTCTTTTGAAGCATTCATTTCTTGCCAAGTGTTGTTTTTTGGAAATGTCTTCTGTCCCTAACTGTTCTTTAGTGCAAGATCTACCATTAATGCATGTTGTCTCTTCTCACCCTTCAAAAACGCCTGGAGGATAGAGTGAAAGGCCCAGCATTCCCCCACTAACAGAAGCTCCTACCTGGCTCCTCGACGCAGGAAGTAGGATGCATGTGAACTGTCTCCTCTGGGGACGGGCAGAGGGTCACCCATGAGGGCCAATGGCCTTGGCCTTTGGCTTAAGTCAGGGCACAAGACCTCTAAGCCTGATTAGCCTACACGCCCTCCAGCCCATTCCTACTTCCTAGGCAGACACTCAGCAGGCTTGGGGAAAGCTTAGTTAAAAGCTGCAAGTTTCAACCACTCCGCACATAGAAGCTGAGATTCGAGGGGGCTGGGGAAACAGAAGTGCTGACACCTACGGCAAAGCAGGCTGGCGGGAAGAGCTTGATTTCCACCGCAGGGCGGTGCCTAGCTTTCCACACAGCCGGCTCGGTCCGGGACCAGCCAATCCTAAAGCCCGTAAGGGGTGATCACCAATTAAAAGGCAGAGAAGGCGGAGCCGAAGCCTTGATTGGCACCTAGTCTCCAGTGGACTCGCCGAGGCCTGGCAGCGCCGAGCCTGAAGAGGCTTCAAGTTGGGTGGTCTAGCGGTGGCGGCCATCTTTATTTCTGGCAGATCAGCTGTCGGGCACAGTCGAGCCCAAAGTAGAGGCGAGGCGTTGGGGCTTTCTCTAGGGAGCCCATGAACCCCTCCCCTCGCGTGCCCTGGTCTCCTCGGGAGGGGCGGGACCTCTCTGAGCGGGGCGGGCAGGAGCAAGAAGCCAGATTGAAAGCGGTGAGACTGTTTGGCGGGAAGTTGGCTTAGTTCCCTGGTCCCCGCCTAGTTTCTCCCCAGAGGCTTCTCAATCTTCCCTCCTTGATCTCGGCATAGGGCATAGTACCCTTTCGCACGGAGGACGCGATGGCTCCCAGGAAACGCCCAGAAACCCAGAAGACCCCCGAGGTGGTTGTGCGCCCCAAGAGCAGAAGGAGCAGAAGCCCCCGGGAGCTGGAACCCGAGGCCAAGAAGCTCTGTGTGAAGGGCCCCGGTACTGCCTGCGCCTGCTGCTTTAATAATTCCGCCTTTGGGGGTTCTCACGCAGGAGGCTGGAGTGGGGGATGGGTGCTGTTGGTTTCCCGAGGCCACCCCAAGTTAAGGATGCCTTGGGCTGTGCATTTTTCTGCAGGTCCTTTGACACCACAGGGCTTGGGCTTAACCCCTCTCAGGTGATGGGAAAAGGCAGATGAGCTTCATTACATAAGACACAACGGACTTTTCAAATTCCTGTTTGTACCAGGATTTTTACACACTGAGGACTGCTTAAAATAATCCTACCTTGCCTGGTGGTGCGTGTGGTGAATTTCGGTAGTCATGGTTGCTAGCTGTGTGTCCTTGGTTTCCGCTGTGAGAACCCTCAATTTCCTTCCTTCCTTCAAAAACTCATTCTCTGAGGTTTATTGGGGCTTGAACCTGGAGCTGTAAGGATGGGGGTGGGGGGGTGGCACAAAACACTGGAGCAGGGAGTTGTTGATGAAGTTCTTTTTGTCCCTAAGAAAAAGGAATTGGTTGTCAAGAGGCCGGATTCACAGAAACCAGATCCTCAAGTACATCGTTATTCCTACTCTAAGTGGATCTATCTCCAAAAGTAGCCAAGCCAGACCCTCTGGATCCTGCTGGTTTCCAAAAGAACAGATTGGACTTGGGGCAAACAACTGGTCACCTCTACATTATTTTAATATAGGATTTAAGGATACTTCTTTTCCCAGTCACTTCTACTCTGCTATCCTAAAATCTTTTTATTTTATATTATATGTGATTTTTAAATTGCCACCCAACTCTACCTACCATGAGTTGTCCAACCCACTGGGAAGAGTTCAGTGTATACTTTATTCTTGTGTGTTTTTTTGGTCAGTTCTCAGAAACCCTGCAAGGGTTTGTTTTCATATTATTTCATATTTAGCTTCACTTCAGAATTACTATTTTGGGGGAGTGTTTGGGGCAAGGGGCTGAATCCCGACTCACTATTTGTCTTTTGTGCTGGGTGAGACTCAGCAGACCCCGGAAAGGCCTTAGGAGGTAAGGAGAGAGATTGGCTATGTCGAATGAAACAACAAGGCTTTCTTTCTGAGATTTCAGCAGGAAACCCTTCCGTGCGTGAGAGCAGAGAGGAAAATATGTGTCTGTTCTGCTTGGCAGGTTCTAGCAGAAGATTTGACTCAGGCTGCCTTTGGGCGGGGTTGGCTGGCCTGCAGGTCCCGCCATTATGCACCAGCATCGTCAGGGCCCTCCACCACCATAAGCTGAGCAAAGCTGCCTGGCCATCACTACAGCAGGTGAGGCATTTTCCTGGCTGAAGTGCAAGAGTTTGCCTGGTACCTTTTTACTACTGGGATGTTCTAAAAATAGATGTTCGGTTGGTTCAGCGGGTTGTCAGAGTGGTCAGATCACCTCTACCTTAGTGACTGACCTACTGGGCATTCAGCCAGGTAGAAAAGTCTTACGCTGTAAAGGCCCCATCTGGAATGCACTCTGCCCCCTTGCTTTCCAAGATTAGTTCATGCACATTGCAAATATTGTCATGCACAGAGCCAGGCAGTTCACTTCCCTTTGTGGGCAGAACTTGGCCCTAAGGCTCATCTATGGAGGAGGCATAGATTGGCAGTTTACCCAGGACTTGGGTTTTAATTCAACTTAATTCTTTTTTTCTCTGTGTCAGGGTCTCCAGCAGTCCTTTTTGCACTCTCTGGCTTCTTACCGGATATTCCAGAAGGCTGCCCCTTTTGACAGAAGGGCCACATCCTTGGCATGGCACCCAACTCACCCCAGCACCCTGGCTGTGGGTTCCAAAGGGGGAGATATCATGCTCTGGAACTTTGGCATAATGGACAAACCCACCTTCATTAAAGGGGTGAGCAGTTCCCTGGGCCAGACAGTAGTGCTGAAGAAGTGTTTGTTGAAGGGATGAAGAGTTATCCAGTAACAAGGAGATGACTGGGATCAAAGTAACTAGGTATTTTCAAACAAGTACATGGTGATGATACTCAAATCTTCATTGAGTGCCCACCCTTAAAATATTAGAAGGTATATAATATTGACTACCCTGTTGTAAGTTATCATGTAGAATAGAATCTGAGCCCCTTCTTTACTCTTGCTTTCATCTTCTACTGCTGTCTTTCCTCACTTCTATGCTTTAAAAACACAAGCTATTTCTTTTCCTAAGACTGGGTCTTTCTTTGCCCTTGCTTTTCTCTTTGACTGGAGTGCTCTTTCCCATGGTTTTCTCATGGCTGGCTCCCTTCAGCCTTGACCATTCAGCCATAACCATTCAGGTCTTGACTTGGTACACTTCTTCAAACAGCTGTCACTGACCACTCTGGTCTAAAGTAGTCTCTACTTGACTCATTCACTCTATTTTGTTTTCCGTGCTCCCCCCCCCCCCACCCGCCCCAACAGTGTTTATCAATACCTGAAATGTTTCACTTATTTGAGTGTCTTTGCCCCTGCAAATGTCTTTGGAAAGTAAGATCCATGATAGGAGGGACCTTGTCTTTCTACCATGTCCCCATTGTGCCTTGAACAATGTTTGGCCTAGAGTAGTAGCTGCTTTATTATATTTGTTGAATGAGTGAGGGCCTTGAAGTATAACTGGGTAGATGGGATGTTTACATACAAGATAACTAGCAATAGAGGTGCTAAATGCTATAGAATGTGAGAGAAGGAAGAACTCCTTGTGAATTAGAGTCAACAGAAAAGGCTCACGGAAGAGTGGAGAGCAAGGAAGAACAATATTGAAGTAAATGGAGAGAAAAAGGGCAGGCAGAACATGTTTGGGGCAAATTTTGGCATAGCACTTATTAGGGATGGCCTTAATCGTGTTGGCATTTATCATCAATTGCTGAGGGGGGAAGGTGTTGGCCTCTTCACCAAAGAGAAGACCTTTATTTTTATTTTTTTCCAACTATCATATTGCCAAAGTTTATTTATTTTTATAATCATTTATTTTCTTTTACTTTTTAAATTTACATCCAAGTTAGTTAGCGTATCATGCAACAATGATTTTAGGAGTAGATTCCAGTGATTCATCCCCTATGTATAACACCCAGTGCTCATCCTAACAAGTGTGTTCCTTAGTGCCCCTGACTCATTTAGCCCATCCCCCTCCCCCAACCCCTCCAGCAAGCCTCTGTTTGTTCTTTATATTTAAGAGTCTCTTGGGGCGCCTGGGTGGCTTAGTCGGTTAAGCGTCTGACTTTCGCTTAGGTCATGATCTCGCTGTTCGTGGGTTCGAGCCCCGCGTCGGGCTCTGTGCTGACAGCCAGCTCAGAGCCTGGAGCCTGTTTCAGTCTGTGACTCCCTCTCTCTCTGACCCTCCCCTGCTCACGCTGTCTCTCTCTCTCTCTCCTAGAAATAAATAAAAATATTAAAAAAAAAAAAAAAAAAGAGTCTCTTATGTTTTTTCCTCTCCCTGTTTTTATATCATTTTTGCTTCCCTTCCCTTATGTTCATCTGTTTTGTATCTTAAATTCCTCACATGAGTGAAGTCATATGATATTTGTCTTTCTCTGACTAATTTCACTCAGCATAATATCCTCTAGTTCCATTTACATAGTTGCAGATGGCAAGATTTCATTCTTTTTGATTGCCAAGTAATACTCCATTGTGTATATATATATGTATGTAATTGTATGTATATGTAAATGTATATATAGCTATCTATACATATATATGTAAATGTATACATATGTAATATATACATACTACATATATATGTATATGTACATATATGTGTAAATGTATATATGTAATATATGTGTATGCGATATTATATATGTAATATATTGTGTGTATATATATGTATGTGTGTATATATGTATATATATATGTATGTACATACATATATATACACACACACACACACACACACACCACATCTTCTTTACCCATTCATCCATTGCTGGACATTTGGGCTCTTTCTATACTTTCCCTAGTGTCGATAGCGCTACTATAAACATTGGGGTGCATGAGCCCCCTTCAAAACAGCACACCCGTATCCCTTGGATAAATCCTAGTAGTGCAATTGCTGGGTCGTAGGGTATTTCTATTTATAATTTTTTGAGGAACTTCCATACTGTTTGCCGGAGTGGCTGCACCAGTTTGTATTCCCACCAGTGGTGCAAAAGAGATCCTCTTTCGCCACGTCCTCACCAACATCTGTTGTTGCCTGAGTTCTTAATGTTTGCCATTCTGATGGGTGTGAGGTGGCATCTCATTGTGGTTTTAATTTGTATTTCCCTGATGATGAGTGATGTTGAGCATTTTGTCATGTGTTTGTTAGCCATCTGGATGTCTTCTTTGGAGAAGTGTCTATTCATGTCTTTTGCCCATTTCTTCACTGGATTATTTGTTTTTTGGGTGTTGAGTTTGATAAATTCTGTATGGATTTTAAATACTAACCATTTATCTGACGTGTCATTTGCAAATATCTTCTCCTACTCCCTTGGTTGCTTTTTAGTTTTGCTGATTGTTGCCTTCGCTGTGTAGAAGTTTTTTATTTTGATGAGGTCCCAATAGTTCATTTTTGAAAAGAGAAGACCTTTAGTTTGCCCACCTGGGGGCTGACAATGGAGGGCTCTACTGTAAAAAGTGACGCTCTGGGTTTAGAGCAGGAACCACAGACTCACATGCCGAAAGAAGCCAAAGAGAAAAAAGAGTGATAGGTGGTGGGATCAGTGGTAAACCGGAGACGGTTGACATGCAAGAATCTAGGTCTCATGGTATCAGATATGATTTTTTCAAATGAACCCCGAAATCTTGATTTTTCTTACATGAAGTGTTCTGATTTTTAAAAATTGTGATGAAATACACATAACATAAAATGTACTATCTTAACCGTTTTTAAGTGTATAGTCCAGTGGCAGTAAGTCCATTGGAATTCTTGTGTAGCCAGTCTCCAGAAGTTCATCTTGCAAAAGTGAAACTCTGTATGTACTAAACACTAACTCCCCATTCCTCCCTCTTCCCGTCCTTGGCAACCACCATTCTACTTTCTGTCTTTATGATGTTGACACCCTCATGAGTATCTCATATAAGTGGAACCATCCAATATTTATCTGTTGGCTTATCTCACTTCATATAATGTCCCCTGGGCTCATCCATGTTGTATTGTAGCAGGTGTCAGAATTTCCTTTTAAGACTGAGTAGAGGTGCCTGGGTGGCTCAGTCAGTTAAGCATCTGACTTTGGCTCAGGTCGTGGTCTCACAGTCCGTGAGTTCGAGTGCCACATCGGGCTCTGTGCTGACAGCTCAGAGCCTGGAGCCTGCTTTCGATTCTGTGTCTCCCTCTCTCTCTCTGCCCCTCCCCTGCTCACACTCTGTCTCTGTCTCAGAAATAAACATTTAAAAAAATAAGGCTGAGTAATATTCCCCTTCAGGTATATACCACATTTTGCTTCTCCATTGATCTGTTGATGGACACTTGGGTCACTTCTACCTTTTGGCTATTGTAAATAATGCTGCTATCGACATGGGTGTACAAATATCTCTTCGAGCCCTGCTTTCAGTTCTTTTGGGCATATACCCAGAAGTGGAATAGAGGAGATAAATGAGGCCATGGTGAGCCCAGGATGAGTTTTCTTAAGTGGAGGCTCCAAAGCAGCGCATCAGAAAAGGCCAGGTTGGACAATCTTGGGATGAGATGGACGTTCAAGAAAACAGGTGCTTGAAGGCAGAAGAAAGGCAGCCAGAAGAATGCTGTACACAGGGTTCGGCTTCCTGCTCAGCTGGCAAGACAGGTGACTACCAGAAGGTGCAGTTTGAAATTGAAGTCAAAACCCAGAGCTCAGGCAGGAAGAGATTTGTTTTGTCTTGTTTTGTTTTGTTTTTTCCCCCTTAGGAATCTAGGACAGGAGAATAGAGAAATTTAAGAAGTAGCCTAAGGGTGTCCTCAGGGGAGAGCCTCCTGACCAAAAGGAGAATGACATCTGCTTTGAACATGTGCCAGGCTGAGACTACTTTTGATTTACATCACTCTTTATTATAATGAGCATTTAAGTGACGTTTCCTCACACCATTGTGGAGATTGGCCTGGGCATTTGAACTTTGTGACTAGCAAGAGGCTAGACTGGAACGGAAGGATAGAGTGATCTGGAGAACTGTCTTTACTCCCAGATACTGACAGAAAGTTGATTTGACACCAGTGACTGGAGGAGAAGCAGTGCCTCATTTTGTCACTTCTTTTGTCTTCTGACTTGCGCTCTAACCTTTACATCTTTCAGGCCCTTGGCAAGGAAACACACATTACATTTTCAAAATGAAGATAACTTGGTTTTACTCTTATTATAAAATGATCTATGGGGCACCTCGGCGGCTCCGTTGGTTAAGCGTCTGACTTCTGCTCAGGTCATGATCTCATGGTTTCTGAGATCAAGCCCTACCTCGGGCTCTCTGGTGTTAGCGCAGAGCCTGCTTCAGGTGCTCTCTCTCTCTCTCTCTCTCTCTCTCTGCCCCTTCCCTACTTGCATATACAGACACTCCCTCTCTCAAAAATGAATAAATATTTTTAAAAAAATGATCTGTGCCTATTTTAAGGATTTCATGGGGTGCCTGGGTGGCTCAGTTGGTTAAGCTCAGGGAATGATCTCATGGCTCTTGGGTTCGAACCCTGTGTGAGGCTCTGTGCTGACAGCTCAGAGCTTGGAGCCTACTTTGTATTCTGTGTTTCTCTCTCTTTCTGCCCCTCCTCTGCTTGAACTCTGTCTCTCAAAAATAAATAAACATTAAAAAAAAAAGAATTTCAAACAATACAGAGAAAAGTATACAGAATAAATATTACCTGAAATTTCTGTTTGGGGCATCTTTCTGTGTGTGTATACACTATTATACATACCCATACCTCTGCTTATCTAAGTA